CCTGCTCCAAAACTGGCTCACTCGTTCCAAATTCTTCAGGAACATGCTTCTCTACATTTACATGTGACTTTGTTGTCTCCTCTGTAAAAGGTTTCGATTCCTCAGCTCCAATACTTGATTACTTTTAAGTTGGGAACCATTAGAATCCAAGCCACGGTCATCAAATGCCATAACAACAAATGACTGGAGAAATAAATGAGTTAGTAGCTTAGTAACACTTACACAATGCACACCTTTCAGGTTTCAACCATTACAACAGAAAAATGAAACATTAGATAAAACTGGCAAAGGAATGAACTTTCTTCAGATTCATCCATCAGATCACAGGTAAAATGCATAAAAAGCACACAACTTTCAGCATGTATGAAACTTAAAACAACTTAACCATCAAAACCTCTAATCACTATTGAATATCAAAGCAAACCCATGAAAATGTCCATTTCAATGGGAAAAAAAAAACAAAATGAAAAGACCCAAGTTCATTTTTCTGAATAGAAGGGACCCATGTTCATTGGGAAAACAGAATACTGACAATATCATGTAAAGCAAAGCAAAGCAAAGATCATTCCATTAATTTATGCATTCGACACCCATAATCAAACCTAATTAAGGAAGACCAATATAAACTAATAATAAACTGAAACTGCAAATGCACCCACTAATATTTAGCCAAGATATTAAAGAAATTGTAATTAGCTGGGAGCGAGTGATTGGGCCGAAAATGGATAGCGATTGCAGCTGAAATCTTCTGTTGATTGAAGAAAAGCAAGAGAGTTGGGAGATTGCAGGTGCCAATTTAGCCATTTGATTGAAAAATGAAACTGTAATTGCACCAAACCAGAAGTCCTTCCTCAGTCCGCGTCCGCACGCCGGATTAACCTGCAAAGCCCCAAGGTTGAACTCGGGGTAGACACTCCGATACTTAAGTCAGCAATAATCGGAGCTACCTTTAGAGCGGAAATAAAAGGAGTTTAGGGTTGGTTTCAATCACCTTTTTGACGTGGCCCTCGGGGGGTATTTATAGGCTCCAGTGAGGAGCCCACGTGGCATGCCAAGCAAGATAGTCGGAGCTTGACGTGTATCCAAACGGTTATTTCGGGATCAGGAATTTGAGAGATATTCAGATGCAAGGACGTTCATCATAGCTGCTATGCGGCTTATTATAAAGAATTAGGTATGGGCATGCTTACTGTTGCTGTCATGCAGCTATTTGGGCGGGAATCTTTGGATTTATCTTTCACTTCAGTCATAAAAAAATTACTGTCATACGTCTGAGGTTGGGCACCTCGGACCTGCCCTTACAGAAACAAAAACCTAAAAAATTAGTATAATTAGTAGTGAATTGGGGGTTTGAGGGTTTAGCAACAAAATCAAAAGGTTTTGTTTTAGGTGATTTTGATGATTTTGACTTTGAAATTAGAATACTGAAAGTGGTATGCGTTGAACTGCAAAATATAAGCGCATTGTGTAAAGTTTGTTTTGTAAAATTAATTAAATATTTATGATAAAATAATATAAAAATAACTTTTAAAATATTTAAATAATTTTATAGAAGAAGTTATATATAATCCGTCCTGTTAACAGATTTCTCATACACATATATATACGGTAAAGTGGCCATCAGTCCTGACTCCCAAAAAAAATTTGGAGTCCTAACTCAAAACGACGGCGTTTTATTAATCTCCCGCCCACTCTTAATGTCTCGCCCCTCCTTCTTTTTGGCCCTTCTGCACTCATCTCCATCTCCATCTCCATTGCTTCCCATCTCCATTACTTCCCATCTCCATTGACTCCTCTGATTCCTTCAATTTTTCAGATACAATCTCACGTCGCCGACTTAATCCCCAGCACCCATTATTTTCACCCCATTCTCCCGCTGCAATTCGTCATCTCCATCAACAATAACCCCTGCTTTGAAGGACGATAAGTGCTTTATTTTCTAACTATGCTCTATCTACCCAAGAAAGTCAGAAAAAAATCTTACTCCTAAATTATCTTTTATTACAAGAATTAAGATGAATTCTTCTCCAATTTCACAACAAATATCTCAAAATGAAATTGATGAGAACAACTGCTAGTCTTACAAGCAGTAAATGACAACAATGACAACTTCTTAACTATACAAATGGATGATCTTGAGGGGTTAGAAGAGATTTCTACTAGTATTGCTATGGAAATTGAAGGACCCAAAATGTTGGGTGAAGATGACATTATTGGTGGGATGCCTTGTAAAGGTATGCAATTTCCTTTGGCTGATGAAGCTCGTGAATTTTATAATGAATATGCCAAAAGAATGGGATTTAGTATTCACACGGAGTCAGCAAAGAGGTGGTCCCCAGATGGACCTGTTAATCGAAAATATTTTGTTTGCTACAAGGCAGGAAAAAAGAGAAATTATCAGCCTAAAAAAAAGGGAACATGTGACCGTCCAGATCGAGTAAATTGTTGTGCTTGAATATCTGTTCCCTTGAAAGATGGAGTTTGGATTATAAGCCAATTTATTGATAAACATAACCATGGGATGTTTAACTCCCCAAATAAAGTAAAAAAGTTGTGGTCCTACAACAAAGAACACTTATTACCAAAGACAATTGAGCTAATGGATCAATATAAACAAGCTGGCTGTGGACCTTCTAGAATTGCAAGACTTTTGAATGTGACAGGCAATGGTACATCGAATATTACCCCACAACAATGCCAACAAAATTTGAGGAAAAAAAGGGAGAGCAACATTGGTCGCGAGTGCATGATGATTATGCAACAATTCCTATTCATGATTGCTTCAAATGAAAATTTTTACCATGCCATAGAGATTGATGAAAATGGTGTTTGTAGGAGCTTGCTTTGGGCAGATGGGAGAGCTAGGAGTGATTGTTATGATAGAGTAACCATTAAGCTTATTTTGTAAAGAATTGGAGCTTATTTTGTTTATTGTTAGGTTTGTTTTGGATATGAATTGAGCTTATTTTGTGAAGTTTATAGCTTACTTTATGAAATTTATAGTTACAGCTTACTTTGTGAAGCTTATAGAAATTTGCAATGAGCTTACTTTGTGAAGCTATACTTTGTGAAGCTATACTTTGTGAAGCTGTACATTGTGAAGTTTATAAAAGTTTGCAATGTACTTATATAAGTTCTCTTAATTATTTGTAATGCCTTATAGAAGTTTTTCATTTTAGATTTTCTACAAAGATTTGTGTTGGGGGCTTGATTAGAGTTAATTCTAGTAGTTGGGTTTCAGGATTCACGGTTAATGTGGGGTATACCTCTATTCTCATAGCAGAACTTTGGGGTCTTAGAGAAGGGCTTCGGTTATGCCAATCCCTTGGACTTTCTCGTGTTATTGCAGAAATGGACTCTCTCATATCTGTTTGCCTTGTCAATGAGAACCGGGAACCAGATAACTTGTTTGCAACTATTTTATTGGAAATTAAAAACTTGATGCAGGGAATTGATGTGTGTATATTGTAGCATACTTTAAGAGAAGGTAATGCTGCAGCAGACTTTTTAGCTTCCCTAGGACACTCAAGTGGATTATGGAATATCCTTGAAGGGGATCAAATGGGGGTATGCTTCCTCTGTTAGTAGTTTTCCTTGTTTTAATTATTTAGCTTATTTCTGCTGTACCAAAAAAAAAAAAAGTTTTGTGCAAAATTTGTTAATTGTACTGGAAATTTATTTTGTACATAAAAGGGCAATTGCCAACTTTATTGCATATAACCAATTTACATTGTACAATACAAAATTTTGTATGTGAGCTTACAAGTCACATTTTGTCATAATAAACCCAAAAAACATGAAAAAGAAAAAGCCACAAACAAGCTAAGGCTAAATCTGCAGAATGTCTTGTTTTTTTGGCCTTTTTGCTGTATGCCTTGTTCAACTCATTCTTCACAGCATTCTCCACTATGAAGGAAACTATCTTCTTCTCAAAAGCAACAGCAACCTCATCATTGAAAGAGACCTCTTGAGACCTCACGTTTGCTAAGTTGGCTCCTCAATAGCTGTAAAGACAAAAGATAACTAATAGCTGTAAAGACAAAAGATAACTTCATTTGCCCTTTGCTGCCATGCCATTCAATTTGTTAAAATCTAATCTGACTTGTCATAACAAAAGAACTTTTTTTCACCTACTTGAATTTTTTCTAAGCATTAACCTTGTCCAAACAACACAACAACCAAAAATACAATCTTCAAATTAAAACCATAAAGCCAAGCCTAAATTCTGGAACAAATAAATTATAATAGATAGGTACCAATCTGCAAACTTAATGTAAGGAACATATAAAAGCTACCAATCTGAAAAACTCCAAAGCCAGGCCTGTAGGAGGCACTAAGGAAAACAATACTAAATTCTAATAGCATAAAGTAGTTCTAAAGGAAGCAGTGTGACAACACCATTAATACTACAGTCACCTGCATGCTCCAATCCTCAAAATACTAGTATTCTATAGCATGAAGAAATAATTTATATAATTTACAAGGCACCAGTATAAAAATTTTATCATCAAATAGTTAAGAAAAAATGGCTTTGGCTACTGAATTTAATTGAATAAACAAACAATTCCTAAAACCAACCTTTTTTTTTCCAGATTCAACAAGAAATTGGAGTAAGAAAACAAAAATACTTTCTGTCCCTATTGCTGCCGAAGAGCAAAAATACTTTCAGAAGGTCGTTTGCCTTCGATTCCTTTTTTGCTATCGTCGATGGCGTGATTGTATCTGAAAAATTCAAGGGACCGATGATTAAAAAGAGACTCAACAAAAAAGAGAGAGATTGTTTTGATTTGTTTGGGTAGATAGAGCTTATCGTCACTCGATCCCTTCTCTTTGACGAAGATGATGAATTGTAGTAGTATAATGGGGTTAAAGTGGTGGGTGTTAGGGATTAAGCCGCTGGCATGGGATTGCATTTGAAAAATTGGAGGAATTGGAGGAATCGATGGAGATGGAGATGATTGCAGAAGAAGTGAAAAAAACAAGGGTTACTGTCGACGGAGAAGATGAATTGCAGTGGAATCGAAGGATTCGGAGGAGTGGATGGAGATGAGAGGCGATGGAGAAGGAATCGGAGATAGAGATGGAGATGACTACAGAAGAGGCAAAGGCAAAAGAGGCAAAGGCAGAGGCAAAGGCAAAGGGGAGGGATTGAGATTAATCAAACGGCGTCGTTTTGGGTTAGGACTCCAAATTTTTTTGGGAGTTAGGACTGATGGCCACTTTACCGATATATATATATTCCTGAAAAATTGATTTGCATTATGGTCCATCGGTTCTTTCGAGTTCTGATTTCACCCAAAACGGTTTTATATTGTATCATTGATTCTAAAGTTATTAAAAACAGTATGTTTCATAACCTTTTAGTACAAAATGATTTTAAACGGTTGGATAAATATTGAATTAATTGATTGGACAGAATAAAAAACTTTTTATTTATACAATAGATGATGTGTTATAACAATAAAAATAATTGTTTTTTTTTTCAAATCTCACTTCACTTATTTTAAAATTTAAATTTAAAACATTAATATAAAACTTCAATCTATCAAATGTCCTTATACACAAAAAAAAGTATGTTCTAAGGGTGGCAAGTCTAGATCCAATAGATTTTAGAGAGCCTTAATAAATTGAAAGTCTTGTGAAAATTAATTAAGTAATGACACCTGACTCTTCAATGATACAACTCCCTTAGTTATTAAGATGCGATGAGTGCTTTGTGCACTAAGTGAAACATCTACCTTTTATTTTTTTTTTTTTTCTAAGGGAAAATGCACTTGGCCAGCATTTCCCTTAAGTTGTTTCATTAGTTACGATTTAAATATTAAAACTAATGCCTTACGCTCACATTATTAATAATAATTAGATTTTAACTAATGCCTTACGCTCACATTATTAATAATAATTAGATTTTATACTTATATACCTTAAAATTGTATTCTTCAGATGTGGGACTGAGACAATCACACATTTCTTTTGATGTGAGATTAAGGTATTATAGGATTATTTTCTTGTAATTCATCATCATCATATATACCAAAAAGACCAAAGCAAATGTTTCTTCTTGAGGATAGATGAGGTTACTATAGCCTCCTTCACTTTATTAAACAATCAAAACCATTTTCATTCTCTTCTTTCCTTT